TACCAAGGAACTAGAATTGATTAATAATTCTGAAAATAAAATAAAATGTTTGAAGTTTCGCAGACTGATTTAAGGCTTACTACAAAGCTTTGGTAATTACGAGCCTGTAGTACTGGCATAAGGATAGACATATACATCAATGGTTTGGGAGCGTGACTCTGAAAATACACCTATGTAAATATGCTTAATTGACTTTTAACAAATGTGTCATGGTGATTCAGTGGGAAGGAGTAGTCTTTTCAATAAATGGCACTAGGTTGGTTAGATATCCTAATAAAGAAAAGAGGCCTGACTCTAATTCTGCATTGTATGGCATACTCAGAGATTTGGGGCTAAATTGAGACTACATCTATTTTTTCAAAGATTTCATAGTCTTTGAAGAACTACAGATGGAAGAAAATATCATAGACATCCATGTTAGGCGATTTAGGAGACAAATTATAGTAATCTATTATATCAATATGATATATTATATCATATTACCATTTATGTTTTATTATATTACATTAGTTATATTTTAACTTAATGGCAGAGAAAGAATTCTAATCAAAAACCAGTCAAGAGCTAAGCAGAGAGTAAAGGAGAAACTTGCCCACCATCTTGGAATAGATAGAACAATTAGTCTGGTTATAATAATTATATAGCAGTGTAGACAGTGCTGTTGATGGTGGGACAACTGGAATGTCAAACAGTGCTGTTGGGAATGCAAAATGTTAGGGGCACCATGGGAAAGGGTTTGCCACTTTCATATGGTGTCAACTATGCAGAGGTCATGTGAGCCAGCAATTTCACTCCTATTTACCTAACAGAATAGAAAACCTACCTCTACAGAAAAACACCAGCACAGTGACATCTATGGCGATTTTATCTGTAAAAATCCAGAACTAGAGATCATCTGAATAGCTTATGGTGACTTTACAACCAAATTACATATTGTAAGCATAATGATCTACCAGTTGGTAGAATGAACGGCTGAAACACATCAGAGAGTGGAGTGTCAAAAAGATGGTGTTTTTTGAAGCAAAGTAACAAACCAAGCTGCATGAATTTCCTTTGCACAAAAGGGTCATGAATTCATATATAAGATATTTGTCATAAAGGAACATGATACCAGTTCATAATGAAAATATTCTATCTCAAAAGACAAAACAGTAAATGGTACACATAAGAAGGTAGATGTTAGTATGTGAAAATTATATCAGTACTAAAGCTGACTAAAGTAACTAAGATGGCTCACTGCAGAAGTTTGTATATGACAGACAAAGACACAACACATGCACAAATCACTAGAAATAAATGTAAGGAACACATGAGTTTATGGAAGAATGTATGGCAGATCTTTAGAAGAAAAAAAATTCCACCAGTAATTGACAAAATAGAAATTGCAAAGAGAGGGCAACCTATCTCCACAGTGCATATCATTGGGAAGCAGGAAGGACAAAGCAACCGTGTGCTCCTTGGGACATGGTTTATGATTCTTAAAAGTCAAAAGCAGTAGAGCGATAAATACGTAAATTATAGACTTTTCTTATAATAGACCTTTGGAAGAATAACCAGGAGGAACATAGATCGCTGCTTAACAGTAAAACAGTTCATCACAAAAATTCTGCAATGGTGTCTTTGAGTTCAAATCCCATCTGCTAGTAACTACATGGGTGAACTTTGGAAAGTCACTCAACCTGTTGTGGCTCAGCTTCCTTACCTATAAAAGAGGGGGAAAAAACACAGTGTGGATCATGTAGGAATATTACAAAGATCATATAGGCTAATATTTGTAATAAAAACATTATGAGCTCCTTTTCATACTTCAAAACACTGCACAGCGATGACAAATATATCACTATTTAAACAAAGAAGCATCAACAGGGATGTATTCTGCAGGTGTTTATGAAATTAAAAGAAAGTTATACATGCAATAAATAGCCTTGTAAGCTAAAACAATAATAAGAAAATAAACTGTGTAAAGCTGTATAAATATTTCCCAAAAGTCTACCAAGATCTGACCATGTTTTCCAGTGATTTAGACACACGCAAAACTGAAGTTCTTGGAATAAGGACAGCAGAGGGCAGTAAGCAGAGCTGTTAAGACACAGCCATGCTGACTGCATCACACAATTATGGGTTATAGAAAGTGGTCCACTGGAAGCAGAAAAGCTAAGAGTGAGGGTGCTGAGAGACTGTAAGCCACAGATAAGGTCAGGCTTTCATGGTGTCTGAAGAAGAGGCCAAGAATGAAGAAGCCCAGTGACTCTCCAAGTCCCTTTCTCACCCTGGGTCCTCCAACACTCTCTCAGCATTGGGGTTCATCAGGGTGATCCTGCCCTCCGAGTAAAACATTTCTGAACATTCAGAAATCCAAATCTGAGAAAGAGTCACAGCCATGAGAACGCCTATGGATTAGGCAAGAAAAAGCTTCGCTAGAGTACCAAAGAAGAGGAAAAGAGACATGCAAGAACTACTAAGCGAAGCAGCATGGAGACTGAACACTTTTGCTATTGCAAATGGCTTCTTCATTTGGGGTGGTTTTGTAAATCTCTGAAACTATTGTAATAAGACATTGTCTTGATATACTTTGGTAGGTTCACTGGGAAAAAAACAAGTATTTTAAAACAATTCAGAGCATAAACAACTTGTGGCTGCGTGATACTTATTGATATGTCTATGTAGTTTTGGCATTAATTTCTGAGAAAAAAGAAAACAGGAATAAAAATAGAAGGAAGGAAGAAAGGAAGGGAAGAAGAAAAGGAAGGAGGGAGGGAGGGAGGAAGGAAGGAAAGGAGGAGTGGACAAATGAAGGAATGATGGAAGGAAGGAAGCTTTTCAGTACTGTATTTGTCCTTTGACATATCTGGTCAGTGAAGAAAAACATCTCTGAGTATTTCAATGGCAGACAGGACACACAGAGTAATGTACCAGCTCCATCATCTGCTTCTTAACTACGTCTAAAGATTTTCTACTTTGGTTTTGCTTTTCCTTGCATTCAGAGGGACAAAGATATTAGCTTTTATGAGTTGTTCATTAGCATCTATGCCAAGTACACAAATAACTTTAATGAAAACTATTAACATAATTAGGAATGGGTGGAGGAATGTTAATTGAATTGACTTATATGCAAGTAATTTTAATGTTTATTTCCTCATATATCTGCCTGACAAAATAGAACTTTCAGCTATCAGTAAGTCTGCTTTTTTATTTATTTATTTTTCAGTATCAACTTTTAATAGGAAGAGAGAAATATTTCCCATGCTAAATGAGTTCAGGGCTGGCATGGGGATGGCACACACTTCTTTCGGAAGTTTAATAGGTGTTCATTCCTGAAGCATCGCTTACTCTGCCTCTGTGAATCAGAGTGATGGTTTAAGTATTGCACAAGGGCACTTCAAGTGATGCATGCCACAATTTGGATCCTGCATGGGAGAGATAATCATAAAACAAAGAAACTAAGAGCTTGGAAGCACCATGCAGGCTTGGGAAGAAAGCGAGTGAGTTCTCAGGTAGTTTTTAAGGGGCTCTTTTTTTTTCTCCAGTGACAATTTTGAATGTCATTTCTCTCAGATAAATCAAATCAAATGTCAGATCCCATTGAGGACGAATGGGTGCAAAGCAGATAAGAAACATTTGTCCTGCATTAATCTCAGTATGAATTATCCAGGTCCTCTTCTCTGTTGTGAGCTAGGAAACACCCTCTGCTTGAAATGTATACAGAGCAGTGATGGATGGAATTCCCCTGTTGTCCCTGATTCAATGTAAATATTATTAGGAGAAGTAAATAAAGGCTTATTAGACTTTATATCTTAGTTTAAATACGCTCAATAGGTTCTTTTCTAGAACAAATTAAATGTTGAATTTGCATTTAACTTGGCGGAGAATTTGATGTTTGACTCTGTGTAGGGAAACACTGACTACAGCCTTCATCTTCGATCCTGGTGAAATACAAGAGGGAGGTCATTGGATTTCTTTGACCCAAATGTTTTCTTCTATGTGTGGGTTGACTAAATGCCAACATTGCTCTAATATTCAAGTCAGCTGTTTTCAGAAAACATTTACACTGCACTCTTATTTGAATACACACACTAATAAGTTCAGTTAAGAATCTGTTCTTCTATCAAAAAATAAAATTAAAATCAAACAAGTATATATATGTGTGTATATATATATATGCACACACGTTTGTATGCATGTATCTGTGTTTATCTCTGTGTTTTAAGCATAAGCTTAAAACGGAAGCATCAGAAAAATATATTTAAAAATTCTATGCAAGTTTTACTAAAAGGAAACAGCATTTATCACTGCTCTTTACATATTTGAAGCAGAGCATGCTGTTTAGACCCAAGACAGAGACAAGAACCTGGATAACCAACATTGAGATGATATTGACTATTCTCTAATAAAATAGCCTAAGGAACTCATTTATAATGAAGTTCATTGATAGCAACACCACAGGACCAGATGTATTTCCTCATTCTAATCTTGAGATCAAGATAGTGAGAAAAAAATATTTAAATGAAAGATTGTTGACACTACTGAAGATAGTTAGCATTTGAAAAAATGCCTTATGATGTGTTTAGGAAGAAAAATGCATACTCTAAATAGTAACCACTAAAGCTTTTGGCAGCTTATTAGGAGGAGAGAAAGAGTTGATGCAATTCTGTGCTGGTAGGGAAAGTACTCCATTTATATGTGGATAACAAAGAGAAGTTATTCAGGGCCGTGAATATAATAGCAAGGTAAGGAAATTCTCGGGTGTGTGTAGGGTGCTATGAATGTCTTCCTGATAAAAGTCCTTAAAGTGCAATTAAGTATATGAACGAAAGATAAATCATACTTAACAGTGGTCTAGAGAAACGTTCTCCTATAAAAAGTGAGGGAGGAGAATGGCGCACCTGGAACTGGGCCACACCCAGGTGTAGGACTATATATATAACGTGCAGTCCAGAGCTGGACATGGAAAGTCAGAGCAACATCTCTGTGGGGCTCAGCTGATCTCTCTTGCTCTCAAGATGTCCTACAGATGTTGTAGAAACCTCTCCTCCCAGTCCCTTGGGGGTTGTGTGCGCTACCCGGGCATCTCCTGCAGCAATTCTTTCTCCAGGAACCTGGTCCACAGCACTGGCTTCTGCTCTCCCAGGGCCTTCCCGCCGGGATGCTCTCTCCGAAGTGGCTGCAAAGGGTCCTCCTTCCAGCCAAGTACATGTCGGACATCCCACGTGGTGTCCAGCTCAGGTGCTAGGCCTGCCCACTACCTGAAGGCCTCCACGCTCAGCAGTCCCTGCCTCTCCACTTATGCTGGGTCCAGGAGCTGTCAGATCCTGAGCTGTGGATCCAAAAGTTCCTACTCCTTGGGCTCCAGGTCAAGAAGCAGCTACTCCTCGAGCTATGAATCTGGTGGCTGCAGCCCCCTGAGTTGCAGAATCCGTGGCTTTCCTTCCATTGGCTGTAAATCTGGATTCAGCTGCCCCACATCCCTGGCTTCTACGAGATGTCACGCTGCTTGTTACAGACCACTCTGTGGATCTGGTTCCCGGAGATCAGCTTGCTGAAGGCCGGTGCTACCTACCTACCTTTCCAGGGAAATCTCTCCATGGTTCTTGGCTCAGAGCTGCTGATGTCTGATGCCTCTGCAATGTTAGTTCACCCTTCTCCGCGCCATTTCTCTGGAACACAGCGCTGGCTGACAGACCAACCCTTTCACACGGTCACAATAGTGAATAATGGAGCCAAATATCTGTCCTTGTGAAACCCTCAATTCCTTCATATGTATGTGGATTCTCCTTACAAAGTGTGAAGTTGAGCAAGGCTTGACACAATAAATTTGTTCACTCTTGCATGCAATATGCTCTCAGTGTTCTTTCTTGCTTATCAGAGTGTGAGCTGTGATTGGCCTTGGGGACTCCAGGTTCTTAGAGTACCTTTCATAGAAAAATCGATTTCCTGGCTGGAAAGGTGGTAGAGTGTTTGCCTGGCATGCATGAAGCCTTGGGTTCAATTTCTCAGTACCACATAAACAGAAAAAGCCAGAAGTGGCACTGTGGCTCAAGAGTAGAGCACTAGCCTTGAACAAAGGAAGCTCAGGGTCAGTGCCCAGGCCCTGAGTTCAAGCCCCACGACTGGCAAAAAAGAAAGAAAATCTATTTCTTTAGGAAATTGCACATGGCCTCCCTTGACTGAGCAAGCAGAGCACACCCTCATGTTTCCAATGAGAAAATCTCATGCTGCCATCATATTTGATTTTGAAGTTTCCATGTTCAGAGCAACACTCAATGTCCCCAAAAGATGTCAATTCAGTGATAAACTATTTGTAAAAAAAAATCATATAAAATAGCTGAATTAATATATTAGCATGGAGTGAGAGAGAACGAGAGAGCGATCAGAAATTAAACTGAGTAAGCAAGTTTTGAGGGGCCATATTTTGGCTTGTTATAAAGAAATATATGTATTCTGTGCATTTATAAGATTATCTCTTTGTTGCTTTGTATGTCCCTCCCCCACAGTATAACCCCTGCTTCACTATATTTGATGTCAGTATAACTTGAGGAGGAGATAGGGAAAAACCAGTTGTTTAAAGATACAGGTGGACCTGTTGCAACAATGAGAAGTACAAGTTGTCATGTCCAAAACGAGCTTTACAACGTCGGTGGGGGGGGTGGAAGGGGGGGAAGGAGAAGGATTGGGATTGGGGGGGAGGGGGGAGGCTGGGAAGGGATGTGAAGGGTAAACAAAAGGAGGAGGCTGCAATGCTTGGTAAGAAATGTACGCATTATCCTGCCCATGTAATTGTAACCCCTCTGTACAGTATCTTCACAAATAAAATTAAAAAAAAAGAAATATATGTATTCTGGGCACTGGTGGAATATGTCTGTGATCCTAGCTACTCCGGAGGCTGTGTAGAGGAGCATGGTTTAAAGCCAGTTATCACAAAAATGGATCTATGAGGATCGATCGCTAAAACAGTAAAAAACAAAACAAAACAAAAAAAGCAAAAAAGCAAGCAGTAGGTGTGGTTCAGGAGACAGGACACTAGCTAGCTGTGCTAGCAAGCCAAGTGAGTGGTGAAGTCCTGAGTTCAAACTCTACTGCCAGCAAAAACAATAAATAAATACATAAGTAAAACATGGAGGAAGAGGGGAAAGGAAAGAAAGGGAGGAGGGAGAGGGGGAGAGAGAAAGAAATATACCCAGTTGTTGTCTCTGAGGACCTGAAAGGAATGAGTGACAGAAACTTCCATGGATACCAAAATCTTGGATGATTGCATCTCTTAAAAATGTATCATATTGTGCATATAATTTACACACATCCTTTTGTATTTGTAACTCATCTCTATATTACTCACAATACCTAATATTATGAAATAGTTTTTATACTGTATTGTGAAGGGAGTAAAGACTAGGAAAACATGCCCATAAAGTTCAATAGAGATGTACCTGTTTGAATGTAATCTATCTATCTATCTATCTATCTATCTATCTATCTATCTGTCTGTCTGTCTGTCTGTCTGTCTGTCTGTCTGTCTGTCTGTCTGTCTGTCTGTCCGTCTGTCTGTCTGTCTGTCTGTCTGTCTGTCTAACTATGGAACCAAGATGTAGTGGGTGGCTTTGTTTATACACTATCAATTTGCAGAATCAAGACTTGTCTGTTTTCATCAAGTTCTCGAGTCTTTTACAAATTAGTGGCTTTTGCATTGAATAGGAAGTAAGAGTGGACTGCTTTGAACATTCTGAATTTTACAAAGATCCTTAGGATCCATTACTTAGCCAAAATAGCAAGATTAAAAATAAATCATTGCAGGATGACAGTCAGATCTGAGTGGTGCATTCTATGTGTTCATTTTGATGAGAAGAACTTGTTTCAGAAGCTAAACGTAGCATGAAATTTTAGTTAAGAGGTTTCCATCCCATAGTTGGTAGTAATGCTTCTTCATGAGTGGGAGAATAATTGTCAAAGATCATTCACTCCAGTCATGTGCCAGGAGTGTTTATTTATTTAACTTCCATAACATCTTTTCTTTAAAATTTTTCTAATTGGATTTGAGAAAATAGGATACATTTGTTATACTTAAACAATAACTTCCCCATGGAGATCTGGCCCCAGATTCTGTGTGCATAGAATCCTGCTCAGATTCAGAAGATGAATAGAAGAAAAACAGAACAAAGCTCATGCTGATGTAGTGGTCTCTGGCTCCCAGAATCCCTTAAATTACCTTTACTTAATATATATTTCATATGCCTTCATTATATGGGCCAATAAACTCTTCCTTTGGTTTAAAGTAATTTTAATAATTAAAATAAAATATGATTTCTGTCACTCACAACCAGAAAGCTATAATTAATAACGATGTGTCATCAGGGACAGTGTTACTCATTGCCTTTGCTGAGAATAGGCAGTTAAAAAGTTTTATTAGGAAGACAAAAAAATCTGTGGAGTCTGAATTATTGCAGTGAGGATGGACTACTAATTCTTCTGAAAATCTGGAGTGGCAAAATGCAAACCACATAACCTTCTGGGAAATCAGTTTTGGAGATGTTACCATTGTAACAGTGAGAAAGCACTAGAAACTAAAAGCTTCTGATAAAAATCGAGAAAGAATTGCACCCTAGAGTAGTGAAAAGCCCAATAAAATATTCAGAAAACAGAACAGAGAGAAACCAGGCTCACGCCTGTAATCCTAGCTACGCAGGAGGCTGAGGTTTGAGGATTGAATTTTAAAGTCATCCTGGGCAGGAAAGTCCATGAGACTTATATCTCCAATTAATCACATACACACAAAAAAATCCAGAAGTGGAGCTGTGCTTTGAACAAAAACAAGTGCAAGGACAATGCCCAGGCCCAGACTTTGAGCCTCAGGGCAGGCCAAAACACAAAAACAAAAATAAGAACAAAGCTAAAACAAAAACAAAATAACAAAACAACAAAACAAGCCCAAGATAAAAAGACAGTGTGACCAGTCACCAGTGGCTCAAGCCTGTAATTCTAGCTACTCAGAAAGCTGAGATCTGAGGATCATGGTTCAAAGCCAGCCTGGGCAGGAAAGTCCCTGAGACTCTTCAATAAACCACCAAAAAACCAGAAGTGGCGCTGTGGCTCAAGTGGTAGACTGCTTACCTTGAGCTGAGGAGCTCAGGAACACTGCCCAGGTCCAGAATTCAAGCCCCCCCACACCCAAATAAAGGCAAAGTGTCCAATGACAAAGGATCTTGTTCTAAGAGGGTAATAAAAGATTACCCTACTTATCACCAGAATTGTCTTCTGTGATTAGTTTTTTAATAGTGCACATGGCATTATGCATATTTTGGATAATCTAGGTTTTAAAGAAATATGTCTTTTCTGTGAACATAAGTTTTCTTCCTAGGTCTTTGTTGCTGTACAAAAGATTACCAAAGTTCAACTGGAGTTTTTAATCTGTTAATGGCCCCCTTTATAATGGCACTATATAACTTAAGAGAATAACCACTATTTTAGTGGAAGTTTTGAAGTGAAAGGTCAAACACTGAAACCAACAGGCAAGAAGTAGAAGAAATACAAATACTAGAGTGATTGGAATATTTATGCTTTGCAGATCATTAAGTGGCTTATGGACAAATGTAGCTGACATTGAACTCTGGGCCTGGGTGCTGTCTCTCAGCTCTTCAGCTCAAGGCTAGCGCTCTACCACTTGAGCCACAGCACCACTTCCTGTTTTCTCGTGGTTTATTGGAAATAAAAGTCTCATGGACTTTCCTGCCTGGGTTGGCTTTGAACCATGATCCTCAGATCTCAGCCTTCTGAGTACCTAGGATTACAGGCATGAGCCACCAATGCCCAATGATTGTCCTTTATTTATTACCTTCTCTTTTTTCAAGATCTCTTTCTCTTTTCCTCCCCCTCCCTTACCCCTTTCCCTCCCCTCCCCCTCCTCCTCAATTGAATTTGTATAGCAGCAAATTTAGGTCAATGACTAGATTGGGTGATGATGAGGGATAGAATAGAAGGCTCAGGGCACCATGGTTGGCAAAGAAAATGTTACAAGTGAAAAGAGGAATTTAACGTCAAGTTCATTTAACTCATTCATACTTATTTCAGTCCTGGTGCACACAATACAGAAAATGGTATGAGAGGCAATTGACTTTGCAGAGTTAGTTCACACATAGTGAGAGAGAGAATATCCCCCTATCATCCTCATGTAAAGGGTGGTTTTAAAAGAGAGCTTCCAGATGCTGAAGCTGTAGAAATTATGGACACCAATTGCTTGGAGAAATATTATATGAGGAAAGAATATTGTGATTTTTCATTAAACTATGAAATTCTTGACAGACAGATATAATCAAAAGTATAATTGCCCAATCTAATAGGTCCAGAAATAGATCTGTACATTGAGTGCCAACGCTGACCTCACTTTTCAAAAGCATACCAGCTAAGAACGGCCTGGCAGAAGAGGTGCTTCCCATCAGAACAGCCATGAGATCGGGAGTGGCTGGGTCTCCAGCTGGTGCCCCAGTTACTTAACATACCAGAGGGTGCACCTTTAGGCATTACCTTTGCTTTCTCTTCCAATGCCTTTTGCACA